ACTGTTCATTGCAGCTCAATTTACAATTGTCAAAACGTGGAAGCATACTAAATGCCCACCAACCCAGGAGTGGATTAACAATGATTTTACCAATGATTTAACAATATGTATACCATGGAATACTGTGCAGCCATTAAAAAGGATGGAGACTTTACATCTTTTGTATTAACCTGGATGGAGGTAGAAAACATTCTTCTTAGTAAAGCATCACAAGAATCTAATATAGTCAATTCTAATATGAAGGTAGTAGATGATTTAATATAAGGTGGGGGTAGGAGAAGGAGGGAGTAGGTAGAGGGGAGGTAGGAAAGGAAGGGGGGTTCACAGTGTCTGGAATACCTCTTGGGACACAATTGTAAGAAGGACTTTACCTAACAAATGCAATCAATATAACCTAATTCTTTGTATCCTCAATGAATCCCAAACAATTATTAATTTAAAAAAATATATACGTGCATGCAGTTAAAGAAGACAAATATTGCTATTTTTAGAACCTATTAATGTTACTCATACCTACCCATTTTTCAATATGACTCTTGGAAATATGGCTCTTAAAATTAATAAAATTTTACCAGATTAAGTCATTTGAAGGTATATCTTGTATGTTTGTAGAGGCTAGAAAACAGATCAAAAATTCTTAAAGAAAAATTGTTGGAGGAAAATGTCAAGTTCCACTGGATACATGACTCTGGAATTTTAAAAACTCTGTATTTACCAGCCTGAGAAAGAGTGTAGATCTTCATCTCTACAAAGTAGAAAAACTAGCTGGGCATAGTGGCTCACACCAGTAGTCCCAACTACTTGGGAGGCTGAGGCAAGAGGATAGCTCAAGCCCAGGAGTTTGAGGTTGCTATGAGCTATGGTGCCATGGCACTTTACCAAGGGCAATAGAGTAAGACTCTGTCTCAAAAAAAAAAAAAAAAGGTATATAGTCAGCCTGAATCCAAAAGCAAGCTCCAGATTAGATAGCAGTGGTCCTAGTAAGTTTAAGTCTGGTTTTCAACATAAATTTCTAGCCCATATATATGATATTGATACTCTTCGCAATATTGTAGAACAGCTGTAAAATGAGGCTGTTTCATGAAAATATAACTTGCGTGAACAGAGTATCACTTTTCTTTTAGAAAGAAAAAAATCTCGTAATTAGCAAAATTGCTGGAAAACCTAGACAAGATTATGAATTTTCCTAGTGTTCTTTGTTTTCATTACATCCTGGCAGCAAACAGTAACTATACTTACTTCCTTTAATAGAAAACACGGCTGAGGCCACATCAACATATGTAAAGAGATTGTCTTTCAAAGGCAAAGTTTTAGGTAGCTTTTGGTTTATATTTTTGAGATTATTGAAAAAGTAAACCCTATACAAAATGATTGGAGAGAATATTTTCTCAATTCTCCCAATAACATAATAGTTAACACAGCGGTAGATGTGAAGGAGAGAAGTTGATTTATCACATGCAGTAATGCCTTAAGGGTCAATTCTCTCACAGAACCTGGGTTGAGGAAGACTGCATCAGGTTAAATATCCCAGATTTCCCACTCTTCTTCAGTGACATGGTTTCCACACACCACCTCCTACTGGCCAGCTGCCTCAGTCTGTCTCCACCGCTCTGACTGGTGGCTTATCATTCTTTAAGAGTAGCATACAGAATTATATTACCACATGAGGTGTTACTGGTCTATCCAGACTTGTATTTATTTGCAAATATATTAACCCTTTTTTTCCTCTGTGCCTTGGGAGAGAGCTGATGTTGTGGAACTTCTTTTAGATTGACCATAGGATATTAATATTCATTGAGTACAGTTGTTCAACCTTTTGTCATCACTTCATATTTTATAATCTCTTTTAAATTGATGTCATGAAGTGTATACTGCAGCTTTTCTTTTTAAACCAAGGCACACCAGCAGCATTTTTTGTATACATCTACTAATAACTGAAAAATTGGAATTGAGGTAATTATGGTAACATTTACTATTAGTGAAACCATCTGTGCTGTTGGTCATTCCCACTTTTTCTGTATCTGTATCCTTATACTATGCTGATAATATGATCTATAATTATATTAATACTAGGACATGACATCAGGTTCTTTGGTTTGTAGTTCTAGAAATTCACTTGTTCTTTTAAAGGTCTCCAGTCTTTAGAGATTTTCTTTAGTTTTCTTTGAATTTTCAAAGTTCGCTACTATTGTGATCTGACTGTATTAGGAAATAGGACCTATGATATCTGAGTAGGAAATAGGACCCATGGTTCAAACTTTGATCTCTCTTAATATTGTAGAGCCTTAGTTGGTATTTTACTGCCTTTAGGTGCCATCTTCTCTACCCTCAATTGCCATGAACTGGATTTACTCTTGCTTTTTAGTGAAACAAAAATATTTTCTTGTTCTTCTTGATGGAACATACATATTTCCCAAACTGTTCAGAAACTTTGATGTTTGTATTATGAATTCCAGAGTGGGAATGAATAGGCAAGACTGGCATCCTGTTGCTGAGTAGTATCTTTATTTATCCATTTATCCATTTTCCTACTGATGGACATTTACATTTGTGGTTGTTGGCTGTGAGGAATAAATAAAACTGCTATGAGCATTTCATGGTTGAATTTCTTTTCTTTCTTTTTTTTTTTTTTTTT